ATTGACATTTTTCTTCATTTGAGGTGAGTTCGCTTGAGTTCAGTGACTGAAAGTTTTGATGTTTTGTTGGGGTCTGTGGAAAATTAACAATTTTGGTTGTTGTTCTATGGTGAAATTACATTTCTAATTTAGTTCTTTTGTTCACATATTTTTACGTTTTAGGAATTTAATGATTGAAATTAAACATCAGAGTTTTAAGATCAAAGCTGTCAATGTGTGTGTGTGTGTGTGTGTGTGTGTGTGTTTTGTAGAGAGGACCACTTTAATTTCTAGACCAACATGTTGTGCTGACATGGATAAAATTAATTAATAATATGTGAAAAATTCATGATTTCTACTGATTGACAGGCGGCAGAGCTGTGGTAGAGGTTGTCAAAGAGTCGAGACTCAAGAATGTCGCAACAGACCCAGTGAAGGGAAGAGAACCGACGCGCTTTCTCTGTCAAAGAAATTTCATCTGCCTACCCCACAGAGCAATGGCACTAATGGCTGTCTCGTGGCTGTCTCGTCTAAATATTTTTTTAATTTTCAATTATTGTATAGAATTTACCATTTAGTTTTAACATGTCTGACATGCCCTGTAACCAGTTGAAGTGTTGCATCAATCATTTTTTCACCTCAAACTGTTTTTTTTTTTCATCTTCTTTAATATGATGTAACATGTTTTTCTCTCACTGTCCTGATTTTATCTGTCAAACAATAATTACAGTGTGTCTGCTGGGTTTCACACACTCCAGCTGCAGCGTGCAGAGTCCAGCTTATCAAAAATGTGGGTGTGATTTCCTTCCACACAAACCCTGGCAAATGTTAAAAGTAATTCTGTACAGGACCCAAGTCTGATCATGTTGACTGAGTCAGGGCCTGTCCACAGACAGGTCACTGGGGTCAGTGCTGGCAGCCTAACTCAGCTTTTGATTTTAAATGTAAAAAATAATTATAAATAATTCTAATTGTCAATTAACTTGTGGAAGTTGGATTTTAAATATTTCTAATTAAAATTTATGGAATTGCTTATTTTCTTCTAAATTTCATTTGGCCTTGGAATTGCATTCTTATTTTCTTCTAAATTTCATTTGGCCATTTGTTAGCAACCTAGCAAACATATTTATTTTTTTTAACCATCTTTTCTTTTACTTTAAAAATGAATTTAATTATTTATTTTATGTGTGGTTGTGTGGTAAGAGAATTACTGAAAATGCTACTTTTTTTTTACCCAGTAGCATCAGTTACCACTTAGTAGTATTTACAATATCGAATAAATAATGGCAGCAGTTCACTAATATTTGACTAGAACCTGTTAGTAATATGATGAGTTTTTAAAGCTGTATTCTCAAATATATTTTTCTTTTCTGTTGGAAAGTGAATATTCCCTTTTTCCCCACATGCTTATTTGTATTTATTGTATAACCGTTGTGAGGCTCGTATACACAAATATGTATTCTAGAGCCTGTGGGAGGAAAATAAAGTAGTACTACAGCTGACATTCAAAGATTTTCAGCCTCAGAGCATCCAAATATATTCAAGAGTTTTAGTGTAAAACTAAATGGAAAAGACAAAAAAAAAACCTAATGGTAAACCATGGTATGGTTTACGTTTTCACGAGGTAAATCACCGTGAGTAAAATACTTGGGACGCAATTCCTCGCCCACTAAATCTCACGCAGACTACTTTCCTGCAAAGGTGGAGACAAAAGCAGCCCTTAAGGAGTCTTTAACTTTATTTACCTCTCAACATGATCCTGGAGTAATATATGCCTCTGCTGCTTTTTAAAGGCCCTTCTGTGGACTGGATCAAGTCTGGTCTTTGTGGACCAAAATGAATGCCCTGCACGCTGAATCAGACACTTTAACTATAAAAGTTCATAAATCAGGAGAAGAAACATAAAAAACTAATGGATAAATGAGTAGAACTAATGGGATTTTTGTCATATTAGTATCCAGTATTTAGTTTGTATTTTAACAACTCTTAGGTCAACATTTAAGTCTTTATTTTTGTCAGCAAAAAAAAAAAAAAAAAAGGCAAAGTATGATGGAGAAAGTGGTGGGGTATTCTTTTAAACATCAGACTCCCTGACTCAACTAAAACTCACATTTAGACATGAAAGTTATGGTTTCATGTCTAAACAGAAACATGGTTTCTATACCAACTACACTGGTTGAAAGCATGGGTTGGTCTCTGTTACGTTGGGCCGGGAGAGGAAGCATGGAGCCAAATGCCCAAATAAGGTAGAGAAAGAAATATTAAAAATATCAATATAACACAAACATTTACTGGATACAAGACAGGGATGGAACAACAGGATCTCAGCAAGAAAACTAGGCATGAACAAGAGCAAGGAGCATGTGACAGGAGTGAGACGAATGACCGAAACACAGGGGAGGGTGACGACAATGATTAACTCCACACACAGGACCGAAGGCACACAGGCAGACCTCACAGGAGAAAAACATATGAAATAAAAAATTCTGAATAATAATATTTTTTTCTTTTACAGGTTTAAATGTTTTAGTATACATTTAAATTTCCTTTTTTTTACCCTATTGTATTTTATTTTATCTTAATCAAAATGAAAGGACATTCGAAGGTTGTGTTAGATATTTTCTTTATGAGTTAAAATTATACAACCCAACCTCAACAGAACATGAATCTTCACACAAGTTTAAAGGTTTATACAGGCCAGATGTAAACAATTACATCAAACTGCTGGCCCACAATCACACACACACACACACACACACACACACACTATTCTCTGCCTTTTGTGAACGCTTTGACTAAAGTATGCTCAGGCTCATGCGTGTGCAACCTCTGGCTCCTGAGGCCCCGCAAGGACAGTGTCCCCACAACAATGGTATTTTTCCAAAAATGTGTCCCCATAACTACAGCTACACAGGACTAGGGCACACAGACAGAAGCTCCAGGAATCTTAAAAAACAAAAAGCAGACAAGACAAAAACCCAGCAGCAGCAGCAGTGACCATACTTTCCCACACGTAAATGAAGGTATCGCAGTTTATGAGACTTGGAAAAATGCAATAAAAAGTCTTTCTGTGAATGCAGCCATCTGGGGAACTTTAAAAGCCTATACTTCCTGTAAACAAGACTGAGGAGAACAAATCCTCTCACACTGCTTCAACACTCCTTCGCCGCCTGGTATTAGCCTTTCATCTTTGTTTTCCTCACTTTTCCTCAGCTCTGCTCTCAGTCTCGGGCCCTTGAATCTTGGCTTTATTCCTCTCTGATGCTTCGCCCGTCTTTGTCTGTCGCTCAGACTTTCCTCGCCCTTCGTCTTGTCCTTCCCTTTTTCCCTTTTCACTGGCTGCTTCTTGGAGCTCCAAGGTGATGTAGAAGTGCATCAAAAATCGCTTTTAAAAACTCTTCATAAGGTTTCATCACACTAAAGATGGAAAATGTGTTTTTGACATTCAGACCAATTTTACACTTTTTACAGTGTAATGCAGAGTTGAATGATAAGAAACATACTCAGTTTTCTTTTTTTTAAGGCTATGGCGCCAAACAACGTCCTGGGCGGTGACCTGATACACTTTACAAGGATTCCTTTCCAGTTACGTTAAATGCTCAAAACAATTCAATTCACTAATATGACTTATTATATTGTATTTTTGTATTTTTACATTACATACACTTATTCATTGTTATTTTTTGTATCTTTTCTTTTAGTGGTTATTGTCATCTGGACGGGGATAACGGCTAGAAATTAGCCATGTCGGCTACTGTTGTTGTAACAGTCAATTAACTGGTAATGTCCAGGATAATAAAAAAAACCCAAAAAAACAATAAACTGAACCAAACACCAGGCCTTGAGATTATTCGTTATATCGCGACTCAAGTGTAATTTTGAAAAAAGAAAAAAACAAGTTTTTTTTTTAAAATCCTTGACCAGTTTTGTCGGACAGAAATGCTGCTAAAAGTCAAAAGACAAAAGCCACGGAAACAAAACACATATTCACCCTCACGGTGACGACTGATTTCCATTTGTCCGACTTAAACAAAGGAAAATGTAACAACCTATTAGTTCTAACTTGGTCGAACACAAGCTGCTGCTGCTGCACATGTTCCTCTTTACAGCTCTTTATACAATTTACTGGAGAAATCAAGCCGACTCTGGACTATCTCCACACACCCGGCCTGACATGTCGGCGGAGACAGATGTGTTTCCACAGTCCACCAGAGGAGACTTCCAGCACATTTCTACTTACTTTAACACAAACAGAGGTGGACAGAACTCTGTGCACGTGTCTGTGTGAGTGTGAGAGAAAGAGTGCAGCGATTTCAGGTTAGGAAATAAGAAAAAAATCCAAATTTCTTCACCTCCACCGACTTGTTGTTCGAATGGGACAAGAAAGACAAAAGTCAGAGCAAAAAAAGCACATGGTTCAAGTCATATGTATTTGGATGGTTTTTTTTTAAACTCTCATTTATAAAAAAAAAATAGTCCAGGGTGCAACACACAAATGCTGTCTATTGTGAAATTGGCGCGTTAATGAAGATTAAAGCTGAGGAATTGTGAAGAATGGCAAAGGAAGTTGCGAACACTCATAACACTCCCATCAGGACAGTTTGGACGAAACAAGAAAGAAAAGGAGTAAAAACCAATAAAGTACGAAATAATATCCCTTCAAAAGCAAATGCTCATCAAACGCCTAACTTTTAAAGCCAGCGGACATCACCGACTTTTCAAGTTTGCTTAACTTTCGTGAGAAAGGTTTCGGTGAAAACGCAAAGCTGAAATGTGAATATTCCAATGAATATTATTTACATTTGCAAATAAGGAGGCACAAATTATCCTTAGTTGATAATGAAATTGGCAAAACAGTGCCAACACATCATGACATGTATATCACTCGCTAATCATTTCTCAAAATCTTCTAACAAAGATCAAAACATTCCCAATGTTTTAAACCAAAAATAAACAGTTCACAATGTTTAACACTTTGCTTTTCACCTGTACAAAAGCCACCACCTGTGAACATGACTCACCTCTGTGACTTCAGTGAAGCAGAAACACTTCTCCCACTCTCACTCTTACTCTCACTCTCGCCTCACCAAGAGAGTTCAGGCAGTGAGGAACAATGAAGGAAGGAGGAAATGAAGGCTGTGCACAGCTTACACAGGAGACTTCCAGAGTCACAGAGCACGGCACAAAGACAGCACAGGTCACAGCTTTCGTACAAGTCGCCTCCAAAAGCCTCTGAGCTCAAGTCCAAGCTCAAACTCTGCTCCCAGCTTGACTTTGCTCCTCCTCCTCCTTCTCTTAACTCCTCTTTTAGCTGAAGGGTGTGGATTGATTCAAAGCTTTGACTAAAGAGAGTCCACATCATTCACCCAAGTTTGCCTCTTGAAAAAAAAACCACACCCAGAAGAGAGAGAGAGAGAGCAAGAGAGAGGAGGGAGGGAAACACTAAAGTTTTCCTTAAATAACAACAGAGGAGGGGTGAGGAAACGTCTGGCTGCAGGGTCACCTAGAACCCTGAAATAACCAGGCAGTGGGCTCTGCTGTGAAGTTATGACGCAGAGGTCATTCCAGGATGTTTACGTTTTCCCGCAGAAGCTCTGTAGTTTTCAAGATGGCGGTAGGCGTACGGTGGGCCCTGATGTTAAACATCAGATTACCCAGATAAACAGGGATTAGTTTGTGAGTGTGTTCGTGCCTCCACACGTCCCTCCACGTCTGCACATCGTCCGCCTGCATGGCCTGTACATTTGCGAGCACGTGCGCACGTCCATGTGTGTTTGAGTAGGCAACGGCCGCGGCCTGTAGTTTGGGGCTGCCTGCGCCGCCTCCGTGCTGATGGCTAACAGCTGCCATCCCCTTCCTGTCTGAGTGGGTACACAGTCCACGCTACGCTACGGTATAATGCAGTAATCATACAGTATCCCCACATCTGTGAGCAATTCTCCTTCCCCTGCCGTTTATTTTATCTCACTTTATTATAACATAACGTCAAGTCCTCTGGTGGCTGCTTTCATCTGAGGGGGTGGGGGAGGGGACGGAGGTGGGGGTTTACAATACTCCGAGTGTAACATGTGGCCTGGCAGGAGTCTGGCAGTGTCAGCGCGGCCTTCTACCTTTTAACAGTTGCTGGGTTTAACAGCCTGAACATGCCAAAAACAAATGGGGGCCAATAAATTACCTGTGAAAAGGCTGAGTTTGTCTGAGGGCCGAGCAAAGATGTTCCAATGTTTGTTTTGTTTTGTCTCTTTGTGAGGATACGTCCATTGGAATCATGCTGCAAACAGCAAACAAGTTACACACACACACACACACACACACACAAACACACACACATATATATACATGTTTTATTTTTAAAGGGTTATAATAATACCTTAAACAGCTGTGCAGTGTTTCATAATTTGTAACACATACAAACAGAAGAACATTTTATTTTCCTTCAACGCTGAGATGATAATCTCTGTAGAAAAAAAAAAAAAAACTCCACCAAACGATGGGTTTTTGGGGGGGTGAGGAGAAAAACCCGCAGGAATGTTGTTT